ACATGTCTTGTTTATATAGTAGAGTTCCTGATTCTGTGTCTTGTGGGATTTCTGTGTGTGCGAATGTCTTGCACTTTTCCTTTGACTATATTTGATTTTTGTTTTTCTATTGATTTGTTTTTATTTCTATTTTCTCTTCTTCCCTTCCTTTTCTTTCTTAGACCTGTGTTTAATAATGAAAGCAAGAGTGTAGATTAGATAGGAACTAAAAGAGTTGAGGGAGGAGAAACCATAACCAGAATATGTTGTATGAAAAAAATCTATTTTCAATAAAATAAAAAGGTTGTACTAAGGTTGGAAAGTCTTGATCTGAGCAAGTACCAGACACGTGACAGTTATTCAGTTAAATCTTAGCTATCCTCATACAAGGAAATATTGTACCTCAAGAAATTATTTCCTAAAATATTGGAGTTACTCAGATGGTCATGGTATCGTGTATCTTTTAGAATTGAAGATATTCACTTCATGTGTAGACTCTACTTGTTTTTCAGGATCCAATGAGAATGTCAGAAGTTTAGCTAAGAGTTCAAGTCAGAGAACATGCAACCTAGGACTTACATTGTTTGCCCTTAAGTGTTATGACTGAACAACTAGGGACTATTATGTCCAACAGACTGAATCAGCCCACTACTGATGTCTATAATTAATATTTTCTAGAATGTGAAAAACTAACATAGAATAATCTATTCTATGCAACACTCTGCTCATGCCGTGTCGAAAAAAAAATAAAACAACATACCGAGTTCACGAATCCCATTAAACACCCAGTAAGTTTTAAAAGTATGCAAGCCAGGTGGTGGTACACGACTTAAATCCCAGCACTTGGGAGGCAGAGGCAGGTGGATCTCTGAGTTTGAGGCCAGGCTGATCTAGAATGAGTTTCAGGACAGGCACCAGAGCTATACAGTGAAACCCTAGCTCAAACAACAACAACAAAGTAGTAAACAGAACATAGGAATAGCTGTGTACAGTCAGCTGTGACCCTTCCTCCGGTGCTACCTGAAGCCTCGCCTCATCTGTCCATAATAGTTTCCATTTCACAGCTCATCCATGAGCAGAGCATTGAAGCGGAGCCAGTTAGGCAGAAGCTGATATTCAGCTTCCTCTCCTGCGTTTTCAAAACTTTCATCTTTACATGTGGCTGCCTATCATGTGTGAATGGTGTCGATAATTTTGCATGTAATTTCAGTCTGTTGACACAATTTGCTTTCAAAAATGCTTAGTAGAGCTCAAAGAAATCTTTCCTATCAAGATAGCAACATTTTGCTCAAATTTGCCATTAACTGCCCTGAATACACAGTTAGTGCTCATTTTCCAACAGTGGTGTGCATTCATGAGACACAGTATGAGACGCAGGATTTGGTAGAGCAGAGAAAATTGTAATCAATTCATTCATTTAACTGCATGTTGATGCACAGTAATGGCAGGACTTTTCAAAGGCATTCCAACTGTTTGAGCAAATAGCAGTAGCTTTGGGATAGTGGGAAGAGCCTGGGCTTAGAGGCATTAAAGATTTGCTAGGGTTTGGGATAAACTAATCTGTTCCATTGCATTTTCAAGTAGTTGGGGGTCCGATATAATGACAACTTCCATATGTGGCATGTATGCATAAAACTACCAGCTACATGCCACAAAGGGTGTTATATACAAGGGGTACAGTAGTAAGCAATGGATGCATATCTGAGAACAGCAGTTGATGCCAGTATTGGTAGAGCTGTCCTTTGGAGCAGGACTTTTTGGGGACCCCCAAGTCTGTGGAGTAGAGAAGAGCATGCTACCATTGAGAGTCTTGTGTGAAGTGGGTACTTGGATCTATGTCAGGGAGGCACCACTAGCTAGATGCAGTTATTTTATGATTTACATGTGTTATTCCTCCAAGTAATACTCATGCTATCTTTAGGGGAAACCATATAGAAGGTAGCCATGACTGTCCTTCAAGAACTGCCTCTTACCGATACTCTTTGAGCTAATAATTCTGTACTGATTGTATCATTCCTCGTTCCCTTCAACTCATGAAGTAATGATAAACTAGTAAGGTCTAGTTATGACCCCCAAAGTAAACAAACCCAGTTGATCTTAGTTCCATGGAGAATCTTAGATCATATGTTTGCTCCCTATATTACCCACCTTTCTTAGGACTGGGAGATGGGTTAGGTGAGCCTGTGTGCTAACTGGCACAGAAACGGGACTTCAGAGGCATGCATCACTTTCAGCACTATTTGCCTAGGCCATAGTTAAGACTTAACCCTTGCATGAAAGGAAAAGAATTAGATCAACTTCTTAATGAAAAGGGTATAACTGAATCTGTAGACATACTGGGGTTATTACTGCATAATATGCTGAAAATAGAAATGCGTAAAATAGTATGTAATCTCAACATTGCAGTTAATATGTGGAGGAGGCAAATTCCCACCACAATCACCAAGAGTTGGGAAAATTCCCTGCTTCCCAAACACAGGGAATACAGACTGAGTGTAGGTAGGACACAGAAACGAGGGCAGTGGGTGTCAGAAGAGGAATTAGAAGTGCCAAGAGAAGGTTGTGAGTGAGATTGTGAAGTGTTCATGTCTGGGGTCCGGCTGTGTGAACTGGACACAAGCAGAGGCGTCACACCATGCTTAGGTTTTGAAAAGGATCGCCTCATGCTATGAAGAGTTTGGGCTGTAGAGAGACAAAGGCATCAGGAGAACTGGAGAGATAAAAGTGTCAGCAGTGGCTGTGATGAGATGTTGGATTCTGGACATAATTTGAATGAAATTTGATAGAACTTGTTAAATAATTGGCCATTAATTGTGAAGAAAAGTAACTGGTAGCTCCAAGTGTTTGGCTTGGTTGACTCTAGCTGAGATGAGGAAGACTAGGGGATCAGTTTAAATAGAAGAGGATTAAATACGGGCTTGGAGAGGCTTTATCTCTCCCAAAGTCACACGTGAAACTGATCACCAGTGTGGTGAGCTGGGCTCCAAGAAAGCTTTCCTGTTACCATAGCAGCAATGCTCTCGGGTTTTATGGTTATCTGCTCTGAACACACGGCACTCATTTTCCAGCAGGGGCATGCATTCATGAGGCACAGTGGGAGAAGAAGGGGTTTGTCAGAATACGAACAAGCGTTGATGCAGTTTTGTTAACGTAAAGTATTCCTTTAGGAAATGGTTAGTTGCCGGGCCTCCATTCTTATGAGTGGATTAGTGACTCTATAGAAAAGGGGTAAGAAGCTCCTTACTCGGTGTTGACTTTCCATCCCTTGAGCCTTGTGAAGATATGGCCTTATCTCTTCTGCCCTCTGCCACTTCTAGTATAGAGATCACAAGTACTTTGTTTTGAAGGATGTAGCATCTAACGAAATCCTGGAAGTAGATAGCATCTCCCACCAAAGACCAAATCTGCTAGGACATTGGTATTGGACTTCCCAGCCCCACAAATGGTGAGAAACAGACTTATTTATAACTGCCCAGTATCAGGTATTTTGTTAAAGCAACACAAACAATTTTAACAGAGCACCTAAATGAAGTCTCAAAACAACTTTGAGGTTTAGAAGAAAAGCACATGGGACAGGAACCAAAAAGCTATGGAGAAACCCTGTCTCGAAAATCAAAAAAGAAGGAGGAGGAGGAGGAGGAGGAGGAGGAGGAGGAGGAGGAGGAGGAGGAGGAGGAGGAGGAGGAGGAGAAGCACATAGAAAAGAGAAACTCATGGGGTTACCATCACTTAAAATGGAAATATATAAGGAAAATGCGTGCATAAATGACTGGTCCTCTTGGGGGAAACGACTTGTTTGTTCTGAGCTGCCCAGACTCAAAATAACCACACAGAAACTATATTATTTAAATCATTGCTTGGCCAATCACTTAAGTATTTTGCTAGCTAGCTCTTATATCTTTTGTTAGCCCATTTCTGTTAATGTGTATATTGCCAAGTGATTATGGTTTACCAGCCAGGTTCCATCTGAAATCTATCTTTGGCAGGGCTACATGACTTTTCGCTGACTCCACCTTCTTTCTCCCAGCATTATTCAGTTTAGTTTTTCCTGCCTAGCTCTATTCTGCCCTATCACAGGCCAAGGCAGCTTTTTTAGTCATTAACTAATAAAAGCAACACATAGACAGAAGGACCTCCCACACTGATTAGAAAGTTGCACCTGTTTGCTGGAAAGGGTCGAGTGTGGTGCAGGTAAAACCCTGCACTCTCTGAAACCCTTTTACTAAGTGGTAAAACCCTGCACTCTCTGAAACCCTTTTACTAAGCAGTAAAACCCTGCTCTCTCTGAAAGAAACCTGTGGTTATTCTTTTCCATGGAAAAGTAGGACTCAACTACAATTGGAATTTTAAATATAAAAGTTTCAAGGATAAAGTTAATATATACTATAATTATAATACTATCATTTGAAATAGTCCTTGTGGAATAAGGGGAAAATGTTAGTGGAGATAAGAGTAGATCACATTCTTAGATATATCAGTGTGCACCATACCCAGCCCAAATGAGACAGCTTCTAAATACTGAGTTCATAGGTTAAATGTGCTAATAAAGTCCAAATATTTGCTACTATTTACATTCTCCCCATTCTTAAAGTATAAAAGCATTAAATTTTGCCATTAAATCTAAAGTTTCCCTCTAAGTAGATTTCACATGGAGTATTTTTGTTACCAAACCCTTCCCCTGGTTGCACCGTGTGTTGCTGTTGTTTCTCCAAATCATGTGCTCAGTAGAGCACGTGCTTCAAGTCATGTTGAGAGTTTTGAACTGGTAAGCTGGAGAGCTTTAAAGACACCTGGCATCTTGCTTCCACACAGGCCCACATACACACATGTCCTCTTGCCCCAGCACACACAGAAAGAAAAGCTGTCTGTAACACCTTGATTCATCATATTCAGAATTGAAAGCAATCAAATGTGCATAGAATGAATTTTAAAAACTCTTCTCACAAGCTGTTAGATAAGGTAAGTTAAGTCTCCTAGGCATTCTATAGAAGTAAAAGAAGCCAGAAACTGGAAAGTTTAACCTGTGGTCTTCGTCTAGGTAGAGTTCTTCTTTGTACTGGTGCTGGTGATTTTGCATGGAAGAGAACCTGATGACAGCTTCCTGGAGTGATACAAATATCATTTGTCTTTATGTAAGTGCTGGTACAGTGGGATGGTGCCATTGAAAATTCAGTTGAACTATACATTATAAATTTATGTATTCTCCATTGGACTTCAAAACATTAAATTTAGCAATGGTTTTGTGGTCAACAAAATATTGAATCATCCTCTTGAGACAGTGGGTAAAAACAACAGAAAATCTTGTCAGTTTTTAAAAAGTAAAGACAGAAAAGATTGTGGAAGGTGCTGGTCTGTTTACAAGTGTTTTTCCTTCTGTACATGCACATGGATCAGGTGAGCAGCCACAGATGAAGCTTGTAGCCCTGCAGTGGATCTCAGCTGAGTGTTCGTCCCAGTGAGACCTGAGCAGCATCAGGGACCCTATGGGAGTCAGTTGTCATGGGAATCCGATTTTCAGAGGCTGACAGAGATGGGAAGAAACTACATTCATTAAACATACTCTTTTAAAGACCTCTGGTTCATAATGCCAAGAGAACATAATGGTCTTACTGAGAACGTAGCAAGACTTAAAATTATGCCCAGGATGTCATAGCTTTATCTCAGTAGATTCACAAATGTAATGAGTGGGAATTGGTAGATATGTGTGTCAGGATAAAACCATGTGGAATAAAGTATGTACATCCATGCGTCTACAAGTGTACTGATTAAAATAGAAAGTCCACCAAAGAATCTTCAATGTCAGCATACGGAATGGTGAGGTGTGCTCTGGAGGTCAAGGTTTAGGGCAGAACTTGAATGAAGTAGGTTTGTACATGCTTCCCGAGATAAAGAGTGTATTGTAACTTGACCATTCTGATTGTAAGCAGGGCCAGCAGCAGTGAAATTGCAAACAAGGAGAAGATTCCATAATGTAGAAACTCCAATGAAAAACCAAAGAACAGTAGAAAAAATGGTATACTCATCACAGTCTTTCTAGGTCTGATAGAATAATTTAATTATCATCCAGCCATGTCCTTGATGAATTCAGGCTTGTCAATTACAGACACTGTCTTTATAAAAACCAGGTTCTGCTAAGTATTTTCATTGGCTGAAAGAGACCCCTGGAACTGAAATGCTAACACGCGTGTGTTGGATGTTGGGGGATGGGAATTCGCGCACATCAGCCTCCAGGGCAAACTGGCTGTCTCAGTAGATGGAGCAGGGCCGTGGAGTTTTGAGTGGGATGTGCATAATCTTCCCACTCAGTTCTTCCCTTCAGGGTTTCATCTCACGTCAGGTGACTGTATATCAAGCCCAGTGATGAAAGATTTAAATGAGGATGCTTACTTGCAGTTTTTGATTATACCCATAGAAGCCTAAACAAAATACAGAATTACGGCAAGCAATTTTGATGGAAACTAGGGACTGCTTAGAAAAATCAGTCACATTAGGTGACAGGGCCTGAAAGCAATCTGATACTGTCAAACAGCATAGGGCTCAGTTATGATTTGGGATTGGTCAGGTTTGGGTCCCTCTGTGTTTGACTTGGCCTTACCATACTGTGTCTTCTTTACAGTGGTATTGCTGGCAAAATTGGGAGCCAGCAATAGACTGGGGAATTGTCACTTTGTGGGTTGTGGGATAGTAATGGCCACCAGTGGCATTCTACAGAAGGAAGTCGTGAAATACCAAGGTATTTCCAGAGGTACACCATGGAAACCAATGGAGAGATCTGTCTCTCAAGGCAGGCATGTACACAGGTGGTAATCCCAGCACTTGGAAGGCATCTTGCATAGGGTAATAGATACCATGATCACAACAACACTTACAAAGGAAAACAATGAATTGAGGTGGCAGTTTACAGTTTCAGAGGTTTAATCCATTACCACCTTGGCGGGGGAAGGGGGCAACTTGCAGGCAGACATGGTACTGGAGAGGGAACTGCCACATGTTGCTATCCAGGCAACAGAAGTAGACTGAGGCACTGGGTGTGGCTTGGGCTTATATGAGACCCTAAAGTCCTCTCCACAGTGACACACTTCCTCCAACAAGGCCATACTCCTAATAGTGCCATTCCCTATGAGCTTATAGGGGCCAATTACATCCAAACTACCACACTCCATTCCCTGGTCCTCATGAGCTTGTAACAATATCATAATGCAAAATGCATTTAGTCCAACTTGAAAAGTCCCCATAGTCTATCACAGTCTCAACAATGTTGCAAAGTTCTGTTGAAATAGGAGTGGCTGGGCTGCGTTCCCAGCACCCTGGCCGCTTGCTAGCTTATGCCTGAAATAACAACACACAAACTGTATTCACTGCTTGTCCATTATATCCAGCCTCTTCTCGGCTAACTCTCGCACCTGGACTAGCCCACTTCTAATAATGTGTGTAAGCACCCCAAGGTGCGCTTACCAGGAAGATTCTAGCCTACGTCCATCCTGGGTCGGAGCTGCCTGGGAGAGCGGAGCCTGGCGTCTCTGCTCCGGAGAGCAGAGCAGAGTCTGAGCTCACTTCCTCTTCCTCCCAGCAACCTATTCTGTTTACTCCTCCCACCTATGTTTTAACCTATCGGGGCCAGCCAAGCAGTTTCTTTATTGCTTAACCAATGAAATCAACAGACACATCAAAGTTCAAGGTCTCTTCTGATATTCAAGCAATCCCTTAACTGTAACCTCCTATAAAATCAAAATCAAAAAGCTGATCACATACTTCCAACATATAATGGCAAGGACATACATTACCATTCCATAATGTAGGGAAGGGAGCATAGTGAGGAAACACTGGACCAAACCAAGACAGAAAACCAGCTGGGCAGACTCCAAACTCTGCGTCTCCATGTCTGATGTCAAAGTGCTCTTCAGATCTACTCTGTTCAGCTGTGTTGACTGCAGCACACTTCTTTCTTGGGCTGGTTCCAGTCCCTCTTGGCAGCTTTCCTTGGCAGGTATTCCGTGGCTCTGGCATCTCTTACAACTTGGGTTCTCCAGTGCAACCCAGGCTTCAATTTCCAGCTTCATGCAATGGCCTTTCTTGGCCTCAGTGGCTTTCCTTAGTCATGGGGGCAAACTCCACAGTCCCTTTCTTCTGTTCTTAACTCTATAGCCAGAACCACATGGCCAAAGCTGCCAAGTTCTGCTGCTGGGAATGGGACATGGCCCCCTCATTCAATTATATCACCAGTTTTCTGTTTTCTCCCTTCACTGCCTAAGCTTGTCTGTCCTCAGCTGGATCTATAGACCAGGCTGTCCTCCAATTCAGAAATTCACCAGCCTCTGCCTTCTGAGTGCTAGGATTAAAGACTTGTGTGCCACCACACCTGATTCTAAGCTTCTCTTTAATCCCTTTTTACAAGTTGGAAATTTAACTGGGTGGGATCTTGCCCTGAGGTAACCACTTTCTTTATAATATTTTTCAGTTCTTAGTCTGCTTATCTTCTTGAATACAGGGCTTAGTGCCATTCCACTTTCTGGTGCTCCCTTTTTCCTGAAATACTTTTCCCTGCTCAGCTTGCTCCTTTTCATTAAGTATCCTCAATAGAGGTAACATTGGTAACCACAGCACAGAGTCTACACTATGCTGTTTTGAGATTTCCTCTGCCAAGGGAGTTAATCCAAAACTCTATACCTTAACCTCAGACAAACATTTTGTACAAAGGCAAAAAGTCGCCACATTCATCACCAAAATATCACAAGAACAATTTCTAGACAGAGTACTAAAATTCTTCTCTAAAACCTCTTGAGTGAGACCCCCACAGTTCAAGACTCACTTGGCACTACTGTCTTCCATGTTCTACTAGTATGGCCCATAAGTAGAGCTTAAAGAATTTCACTGCTTTCCTAATGCATAGTCCCAAAGTTCAAATTCCTCCAAATTTAAAAGCATGGTCAGGCCTTTCACAACAATACCCCACTCCTGATACCAACTTCTGTCTTAGAGTTTCTGTTGTTGTGGAGAGACACCATGACCACAGAAACTCTTATAAAGGAAAACATTAAATTGAGGTTGTAGCTTACAGTTTTGGTGGTCCAGTCCCTTATCATCACAGTGGAACTTGAATGGCAGCATGCAGGCCAACATGGTGCTGCAGAGGGAGCTGCTACATGGTGGTATCCAGACAACAGGAAGTAGACCATGGCACTAGGCATGGCTTGGACACATATGAAATCTCAAAGCCCACTCCCTCAGTAACATACTTCCAACAAGGCCATACTTACGCCAGCAAAAGCCACACCTCCTAATAGGGCAGTCCCCGTGAGCTACCACGTTTAATTGTGGTGGCTCACTTACAGTTTAGAAGTTTGGTCTCTTATCATTATGGCGGAAAACAAGGGAGGATGCAGGCAGTCGTGGTGCTGGAGAGGTGGTTGAGACGTCTTGATTCACAGGCATCAGGAAGTGGTCTGAGGCACTGGGTGTAGCTTGGGCATATATAAAACCTCAAAATTCACCCCCACAGTGACTTTGCTTCCTCAAACAAGGCCATACCCACTTCAAAAAAGCCACTCCTAATAGTACCACTCCCTGTGAACTTATGGTGGCCAATTTCACTCAAACTGCCTCAGAAGGCTTAGGCAGAAATATCCCAAACTTGAGGCTAGTCTACAAACAGATACCCTGTCTGTCTCTGTTTCTGCCTTTGTTGTCTCTGACTCCTCCTCCCTTCCCTCTCCCTCTCCCTGTCTGTCTCTCTCTCTTCCTCCTTCCTTCCTCCCCTCTCTGTGTTAATAAAGACAAAATGCATGTATTAAATCTAGCAAGTAGGTTAGAGGAACTTGAGAACATTCTGAGTTTAAGTTGCTTAAAAGACAGACGGCAGTGATTTGAAGGATGAATTCCAGATAAGGGAATAAATAGTAAAGTTTGATTTCACATTCCAGAATTTTAACTCCAAGAGGAACACAGCTGTTATCAGCTCCCGTGTCTCATCCAAACGAGTCATACATCAAATTCCCGTGTACCTCAGACTATAACTTTCTTTGGAAATTGAGCTATTCGGATACAAGTAGTTAAGGTCTTTAGAGTGAAGTGCAGCCCGACATGACTAGTACCTTTATACAAGGAGAAATTAAGACATAAGCATGAATTAAGGGGAACGTTGGCAGCCAGCACCCCAAGGAGAGAGGCCCGGGCATGTTCCCAGAGCAACATCGAGAGCTGCTGCACTGGCTCCACATCAGACTCCCACTGCAGCTGCTGCTGCAGAGCATTGTTTCACCTTGCCTGCAGTCCTAGGGACGAAATACAGCGGTGAAGAAGATATTTAGAAAAACAGAGGGTTGAGAAGTGCCAGTCCCTTCAAAGGGAGAAGAGATTGGATGTCTTTTCATTTTAAGGATGAAGGAAGGGAAGGGGAGGATAAAGAAGACTACAGCACAGTCACACCACCCTGAGGCTGCGGTGGTGGAGGGGACATGGTGCTGCAGGGAATACGCTTTAGCCAGGAGTGGTAACTCTGAGTATTCTGTGGGTTACAGATGTTTGTGCGCTGTGGTGTGGATGCTGGGGACCTGTTCTCTGCAGGGGCAGGAGGCACTTTTAACCTCTAGTCCATCTCTCCAGCCTCTATAGCCAGAGGTTCTTAAGCTCATAGTCAGCAACTCCCAGTAAGATAGCATGCTTCATGCACTTTCAGTAAGATAGCATGTTACAGCATGGCTGCATGCACTTCCAGTAAGATAGCATACTACATGCACTTCCAGTAAGATAGCATGCTGCATGCACTTCCAGTAAGATAGCGTGTTACAGCATGGCTGCATGCACTTCCAGTAAGATAGCGTGTTACAACATGGCTGCGTGCACTTCCAGTAAGATAGCATACTGCATGCACTTCCAGTAAGATAGCATACTGCATGCACTTCCAGTAAGATAGCATACTGCATGCACTTCCAGTAAGATAGCATGCTGCATGCACTTCCAGTAAGATAGCATGTTACAGCATGGCTGCATGCACTTCCAGTAAGATAGCGTGTTACAGCATGGCTGCATGCACTTCCAGTAAGATAGCATGCTGCATGCACTTCCAGTAAGATAGCATGCTGCATGCACTTCCAGTAAGATAGCATGCTGCATGCACTTCCAGTAAGATAGCATGCTGCATGCACTTCCAGTAAGATAGCATGCTGCATGCACTTCCAGTAAGATAGCATGCTGCATGCACTTCCAGTAAGATAGCATGGTTACATGCACTCCATATGTACATAATTTATACTAAGTTCCACCTACTCTTCCTATTTGTAATACAATTAAAAGTAAGATGGAAGTTAATGGAAAATACAGATGACTATTTAACATAATATATACTCCACAAAATAAAGATAAAAATGCTGGTTAAAATCAATTATGTCAATACATGGTGTAAGAGATGTCTCTGGTCTCATCGATACAAGTAAGAAAAAGGCTGTCACTCTCAAAAAGAGCCTTCCCACCCCAATGCAAACATGTTTCAGGACCCAGCACACACTAGTGAGGATATTCAGAACTGTGCTCCTTGAGGGTGCCCTGAGCAAGCCCCGTCTGCTGACAAGCAGAGAGCATGCCCTAGTCAGTGGCATAAAGCCACAGGGATTGGCTACTATGGCAAGAAGGAATCTGCACCATGCTACACTGTGCTAAAATCAACATGTCCTTAGGCCTGAGTTCTTTGAGCTTTAGGGAGAAAGCTGTTTCCTTTCCTTTTCTGTGTCCTAGAGGGTCCCTGCATCCCTTGCCTTGGCACCTTTTTTGTATTTTCAAAGTGCCCTCCACAGCATCTTCAAAACTCCAATTCTGACCTCTTTTGTTGCTACAAAAGGTAAATTCCTCATTACTGCCTCACTGGGCCTCCTTTACCTGTTTAGAAGACTCGGAATTATATTGAACTCACCTGAATAACCCAAGGTGCTTTCTCTATTATCCTATCTTTGATTTAGTCACACCTGCGAAGTTCATCTGTCCAGGTGAGGGAACCCCCATGTTCATCCTGGGGTGAGGGAATGTGAGGTCTACCCTCTTTGTAGAGCAAAGTAACTGGTTTCTAAAATACCAGCGTTCGTCAAGGACCTCACCTGGTCCCTAAGGCATTCTGCATTTGATACCAAGGTAAGCGAGCCTCGTCCTTTCCTGATAAGTCTTCTAGTGATGGAGGCAGATGCAGGAAGCTCACACTGTGCTGTGTCGCCATCAGAGTCCCCATGGTCCAGGAGACGGGCGTTGTTGCTTCTGGTTGGGTTCTGGTTGGGTAATACTATGATAGAGGGACACAGGGCTGAGGGGTGTGGAAATGGGGAGATGGTGCATGCAGCCTAGGACCGAAGAACTAGTAAGAGTTTATGTCTATGTCCCTCTTCTTCTTCTTCTTCTTCTTCTTCTTCTTCTTCTTCTTCTTCTTCTTCTTCTTCTTCTTCTTCTTCTTCTTCTTCTTCTTCTTCTTCTTCTCTCTCTCTCTCTCTCTCTCTCTCTCTCTCTCTCTCTGTCTCTCCCTCCCTCTCTCTCTTTCTGTCTGT